GTGGCAGTGGGACCAAAGTATCACTTCAAAGAACTATGTACAGGTGTGAGGAGCAGAGGGAGGGAGGCAGATCTGCAAGTCTGGCTGAGGACTGGACTATGGAGAACTGGGTCCCTGGCCCTCGAGGAGGCTGAGAGAGCAGTTTTTAGGCTACTCAACAGACTAGGAGGGCAGGTCCAATGGGTACCTTGGGGACTTCCGGATCCAGTTGTGGCCTCTCATTGGCCTCAGTTGAATGTCCTCTTCTGTGGGCAGCAACTTTCTTCCCAGGACTGTCAGAGAGTCAGGTGGTGTTAGGGGGTGCGGGAGGCCGGTCATCTGAGTGTTGATCACGTAGTGGCCCTGGATAAACTGTCTTTATCCACTCGTTGTTTTGAATGTGTTACGCCCTCCGAAGCAGTCACCCTAATGTGGATATGAAGGACAGGGACAGACATGCCTGTAGTTCAGGCAGATCCCCCCTATACTAGGGGCCTGTTGTCCAGGACGGGGCCGCCTTGAGGAAACCTTGTGAGTACATTGAGCACACAGTACCATTGTGAGGCTGATGGCCTGTTGCAATCATTGTGCAATTGCAGCTTCCATTGATCAGAGATTCACATACCAGACTCTGCTGCTCACTCCACGTGTCCGCCCCACAGCCCTATAAGGCAGGTGGCTTTATGGTCCTCAAGGCATGGAGCAGACTGAGTCACAGGGGTCAGGTCAGGAGGTCAAAGTCACAGAGCAGCATTCTGGTCCCTCTCAAAATGCATGCTCCACCTCAACATAAAAGGCCACATATGTCAAATCCACAGCCAATAGCAGACTTAACAGTGAAAAACTGAAAGCTAGTCCTTTGAAAATGGGAACAAGACAAGGAAGCCCACTCTCTCCACTCTTATTCAACATAGTCCTGGAGGTTTTAGCCAGAGCAATTAGACAATAAAAAGAAATAAAAGGCATCAAAATTGGAAAGGAAGATCTAAAACTGTTACTATTTGTGGATGGCATGATTCTATATAAAGAAAACCCTAAAAAATTCACCAGAACTATTGGAAATAATCAGTGAATACAGTAAAGTTCCAGAATACAAATTCAACATACAAAAATGAGTTGCATTTCTATACACTAATAATGAACTAGCAGAAAGAGAAATCAAGAATATAATCCCATTTACAATTGCAACAAAAAGAATAAAATACCTAAGAATAAATTTAAGCAAGGAGGTGAAAGAACTATACACTGAAAACTAGAAGACACTATTGAAAGAAATCGAAGGACATGAAGAGATGGAAAGATATTCCATGCTCATGCGTTGAAAGAATAAACATACTTGAAATCTCCTTATTAACTGAAGCATTCTACAGCTTCAGTGCAATCCCAATAAGAATCCCACTGACAATCTTCATGGAAAGAGAACAAAGAATGTTAAAATTTATATGGAACAACAAGAGACCCTGAATAGCCAAAGCAATCCTGAGAAGAAAGAACAAAGTTGGAGGCATCACACTCCCTGAATTCAAAATATACTACAAAGCTATAGCAATCAAAACAGCATGGTACTGGCAGAAAAACAGACACACAGATGAATGGAGCAGAATTGAGAGCCCAGAAATAAAACCACACATCTATGGACAGCTAATCTTCAACGAAGGATCCAAGAACATACAATGGAGAAAAGAATGTCTCCTCAAGAAATGGTGTTGGGAAAACTGGACAGCCACATGCAGAAGAATGAAAGCACACCATTACCTTACACCATACACAAAAATAAACCCAAAATGGATTAAAGACTTGAAGGTAAGGCCTGAAACCATAAAACTCCAAGAAGAAAATATAAGGAGTATGGTCTTTGACATTAGTCTTAGCAGTATCTTTTGGAATGCCATGTCTACTCACGCAAGGGAAACTAAAGAAAAAGTTAACAGGGGGCCGGCCCTGTGGTCTAATGGTTAAGTTCAGTGCACTCTGCTTTGGTGTCCTGGGTTCAGTTCCCAGTCTTGGACCTACACCACTCGTCTGTGGCCATGTTGTGATGGCAACCCACATACAAAATAGAGGAAGGTTGGCAGAGATGTTAGCTCAAGGTGAATCTTCCTCAAGCAAAAGGAGGAAGATGGGCAACAGATGTTAGCTCAGGGCGAATCTTCCTCAGCAAAAAAACACAAAAAAACAAAAAACAACGACCCCACAAAAACTAACAAATGGGACTACCTCAGACTAAAAAGCTTCTGTAGGGCAAAGGAAACCATCAACAAAACAAAAAGACAACCCACCAACTAAGAGAAAATATTTGCAAATCATATATCCGACAAGAGGTTAATTTTGAAAATATATAAAGAACTCATACAATCAACAACAAAAAATGAACAACCCCATTAAAAATGGGCAGAGGATACAAACTGACATTTTTCCAAAGAAGATATACAGATGGCCAGCAGAAACATGAAAAGATGTTCAACATCACTCGTTATTAGGGAAATGCTAATCAAAACTACAAAGAGATATCACCTCACATCCATCAGAATGGGTATAATTAACAAGACAAGAAATATCAAGTGCTGCAGATGATGTGGAGAAAAGGAAACCCTCATACACCGCTGATGGGAATGCAAACTGGTGCAGCCACTATGGAAAACAGTATGGAGGTTTCTCAAAAAATTAAAAATGAAATAGCATATGATCCAGCTATCCCACTATTGGGTATTTATCCAAAGAACATGAAATCAACAAGTCAACAAGATCTATGCACCTCTATGTTCATCACAGCATTATTCACAATAGCTAACACATGGAAGCAACCCAAGTGCCCATCAATGGTTGGATGGATAAAGAAGGTGTCGTATATATATATATGTACCATGGAATACTAGTAAGCCGTAAAAAAAGACAAAATCTTGCCATTTGGGACAACATGGATGGACTTTGAGGGTATTATGCTAAGCAAAATAAGTCAGACAGAGGAAGACAAATACCATATGATTTCATTCATATGTGGAAGATAAACACATAGATAAGGAGAACAGATTGGTGGTTATCAGAGGGAAGGAGGGAGGGCGAAAGGGGTAAGGTGGCACATATGTATGGTGAGGAATAAAAACTAGGCTACTGGTGGTGAACACCGTGCAGTCTATACAGAAACTGAAGTAGAATAATGTACACCTGACACACAATGTTATAAGCCAATATGACCTCAATAAAATAATTAAAAAAAATACTAAAAGAAAAAAGGCAGGCTCTGAGCTACTGCTTTACATGTACCTTACTGAGATTTAATGTTTTAGAAACACACTCAGCCCACCCTCGCTGGGCTTCTCCTCTGGTGAAGCTGCTGGGGTAGAGGGGTGAGCACCCCCCGAGACCACGCGTGTCACAGGTGTTCACCTGCGCAGGGAAGGGCGCTCTGGACACTGGGACATGAAGCTTATAGTCCAGGGGTGACGTCAATAGGATGGCGGAGCAGGAAGCCCCAGGCCCTGGGACCCGACGCGATGCGGAGCGAACCCTGGGAGAGAGCTCTAGAAAGCAGGTAGGGAGCTGCAGCCCCAGCCAGGGCGCTGGGAAAGTTGGTGGCATTTGGCTCGCCTTGCCCCTCCCCCTGCGGCATGGAGCGCCCGCGGAGTAAATCGCCCAATTCCCGCTCCTCCCTGGGGACAGAAGGGAAGTGTGGAAGCTGCGTCCACTTGTGGGGCCGCGGGCCTGACCGCCTCACCTGACTCGCAGTGCCGACCCGCCCAGCGCAGCGCTGGGATCCAGGGGGAGGCCCCGGCAGGGCAGCCGCGTCTGCAGTTCCGCAGACGGGCGCCGGGGGGCGCAGGAGGCCGCGGCCACGAAGTGGGACGGGGAGCCTGTCAGGGCCCGCTCTTCGGAGATGGTTTATGGGTAGAGGGCTTTGGTCTTGGCAAGTGAAAAAGTTCTGGAGATCTTTGAAAAACAATGTGAATGTACTTAACACTACTGAACTGTATACTCACTGGTTGACATGGCAAATTTTGTTGTTTTGTTTTAACCATGATTTAGAAATTCTTAAAACAATGTGCATCTCCACTGCACATCTATTAGAATGGTCAAATCCAGAACACTGAAAACACCGAATGCTGAGAGGATGTGGAACAACAGGAGGTCTCTTACATTGCTGGTGAGAATGCAAAATGGCACAGCCACTTTGGAAGGCACTTTGGGGGTTCCTTACAAAACTCAACATTCTTACCATATGATCCAGCAATCACGCTCCTTGATGTTGACTCAAAGGAGTTGAGAACTTATGTCCACACAATAGCCTGCACAGGGATGTTCACAGCAGCTTTGTTCATAATTGCCAAACCTCATAAGCAACCAAGATGTCTTTCAAGAGGAGAATGGATAAACTGTAGTACATCCTGACAATGGTATATTCTTCAGCACTCAAAAGAAAGGCGCTACCAAGCCACGAGAAGGCATAGATGAACCGTAAATGCCTATTACCAAGTTAAAGAAGCCAATCTGAAAAGGCTACATACTGTAAGATTCCACCTATATGACATTCTGGAAAAGGCAACACTACGGAGACAGAAAAAGATCAGTGGTTGCCAGGGGCCAGGAGGGAATAGGTGGAGCACAGAAGATTTTTAGGGCAGTGACTTCTCTGTATGATCCTATCATTGTGGATATATGTCAGTATACATTGGTCCAAACCCATAGAATGTACAACACCAAGAGTGAACCTTAATGTAAACTGTGGACTCTGGGTGATAATGATGTGTGAATATGGGTCCCGGCCCCACCTCCTGCTCTGGTCTCACAGACCTGCCCCCTTTGGCAGTCCGGTCCTCTGCACCTGCTCAGACAGTCCCACATCTCTGGGTCAGGCCCACCCCCTGCCAACCCCCCACATCCCCCATACCTCATCCTCTGCTGCCCCCAGCCTGCCCACTTTGACTCGCCTTCTAACAGTGCCAGGTCCTGGCCCTGCTCCCTGCCTTTGCTAACACAATCCCCCCCCGCTTCCCCTTTACCATAGGCTGGGTCCTTTGACAGGCCCACACTCCTCCTGCTCCAGCCCTGATACAGGCTCCTTCCTCCGGGCCCTGGGCCCAGCATTCCCTAGCCATTCTCTCTGCCCCTTGTTTGAGACTCGCATGGGTTAGGCCCTGTCTTGTCTCCAGTCACTGGGGGCCCAGTTCCCACCGGGATGAGGTCAGCCCTCCCTCTGATTGCCTTGGGCGACGTCCCAGACCAAGTGTGAGATCAAAAGTGCAGTGGGCAAGCCCTTGCTATGGTACACCAGCGCATGAGCACGGCTGCCAGCCTGTTGAGCATGATCATGGGCCTCAAGGCAGCACCAAGCCCTCATCTCCTGGCGCTGGCCTTGGGGGACACCTGGGCACCCACCAGTGCAGGTGCAGGACTTGATCTGGCCTCGTGATGCTGGGAATCACATCCTCTATGGTCAAGAATCTCACATTGGATCAGACCACACAGCTGTGACTTTACAGAAGTCACTAAAATTCTCAAAAGGCCAAGTTAGCATCCCATTTTACAGGTGAAGAAGCAGAGGTTCACAGAGCTGAGCAGTAAGGTCTAAAGTCTCACAGCAGCAAACCATCTGAACCTGGTCACTGTCCTTTCTCAACCTCTATTCCCTGATGTAAATGGGGCTCATGACCAGACTCCCCTCCCCTATCTCAAGACCTTTCCTCCTGATGTCCTCAGAAGGCACTCAGGCTCACATAACTTAAGCTCTGTCCCTCTGCATCCCAAACCCACTGCCAAGTCCCACCCCCTCCAGGCCTTTTCCCTCTCTGACCTTTGGTTGGAAAATTCAAACTGTCCTCCATGCCCTGCACAGATACCCTCCCCCAGGAGGCCTCTCAAACCTGCCTCCTCCTTTCCCCCCAGCTCCCTGTCCAGCCTGTGGCTTCACCCACCACCCACTGTCTGCTGCTCAGTGGTGTCCCCAAGACCTTTGTGCCCACCCCCATCTTCCTCACCCAAATATAGCAGCAGCATAAGTCTTGGAAGTCCACCTGCAGCAGAGTGCCAGGCAAGGCAGCGGCATGGGGCCTGGTGGGTAGCCTGGGGCCCAGCGTTGATGCTAGTGCATCAGGTCCACCAGGAGCAGGAAAATGGCCACAGCCATGGCCAGGGGCCCCAGTGTCTCCTCAGTCAGCAGCTGCATTGCTGCCTCAGTGGGCACTGGGCTTCTCTGGACACATTGGCACCCCTCACCACACCAGTCACCTAGGACCAGGCCAGGCAGGGTTTTCTCACCAACCCTCAGGGCTCAACCAGCCTGGACCCTCTTTATGAAGGGAGCTGAGACTGGCCTTGGCCCTCTTCCCTGAGCAAAGCTTTTTGGGTGACTGAACTGCCAGAGGTTGCAGGAGGGGCCATGGAAGGTCAGGGCAGTGGTGGCCACAGAAGTCCTGTCCCTCCCACATCTCTTGCTGCTGTTCCCAGGTGGAGTGGGAGAAAAGGCAAGTTTCCACCCTCAGATGAACTCCCCAGCATTGCACAGGCTCCGAGGAAGAACCAGGGGTCTTTGGATTTGATCCTGCTACACACCTGTCACATTAGGCTCACACTCCCTAATGTGGTCACAACCTTGTCCCCAGAACATGTCCTTGACTTCCCATGTCTCACTGACCTCTTCCTGAGATGCTTTCACCTAGGAGGTCATTGGCACTTGCCTGATGATGAGAGGAACCATGCCTGCAGGGAGTGGCAGGGAGACAGAGGGTGCTGAGGTTCTCCATTTGTTGTCTTCACCTCACCCTGCACACTTGACACACACAGACCCAGGTACACCTCATCACACACAAACCACTCATCCATTCCCCTACAATTACCCACATGCTCACACATACACACACATACAGACCCACCACACAGAAATCCTCATACCCACAAAGCAACCCACACTCAGACAACACTCATGTGAACACACAAACTCACACTTGCACTCAAGGCACACAGATTCTTTCTCTCTCTCACACACACACACACACACAGACCTGGCACCAAGTGCCCTGATTCTCAGCAAGGCCTGTGGATGCCCGGGAGGGGTGTCTTCTGGTGGAGGCTGCTCCCTGGGAGGCTCAGGGTCCTCACCCGGCTTCCGGCACAGCCCAGATTCCTAGGCTCTGGTGTAGCCGTGCCCAGTTTAAATCGGGGGTCGGGGGGCAACCAGGTTGTTCTCTGGGCTCCCGACTTACCCTGACTGGACAATTGGTGGAGCCCAGAGGCCCTTTCCCCAGCTTGTGACATCCTCCAGTCACTTCCTGAGGGATATTGTCATCCTACTGCTTTCTGACCTCTATGGTTTCTGATTAGAAATCTGACGTCAATGTTATTGAGGACGGATCCTTTGTTCATGATGAGGTGCATCTCACATCTTTCTTGCTGCTTTCAAAATTCTCTCTTTGTTTTTTGGTGGTTTTCTTGTGATGTATGTAGGTGTAGGTCTCTGATTTTATCCTACTTGGAGTTCACTGAGCTTCTTGGATGTGTAGATTAATATTTATCATCAAATTTCGGGAGTATTCAGTTTTCAATATTTCTTCAATATTCCTTCTAGTCCTTTATTTCTCTCTGCTTCTGCTAGAACTCCCATTACGTGTGTGCAGAATGCTTGATGGTGCCCCACCGGTTTCTGAATCTCTGCTCATGTTGTTCGTTCTCATTTCTGTTCCTCAGCCTGGATCAGCTCAGCTGACCTGTCCTCATATTCACTGACTTTTCTTCTGCCTGTTCAAGTCTGCTCTTGAGTTCCTGTACTGAACTTTCATTTCAGTTTTCATACTTTTCAACTCCAGAATCTCTACTTTGTTCCTTTTTATAATTTCTATCTCATTACAGATATTCTTAAATTGGTGACACATAATTCTGCCACTTTCCTTTAGTTCTTTAGGCATGGTATCTCTTTGTTCTGTGAACGTATTGAATTAGCTGATAGGCAGTCTGTGTCCAGAAACTCCACTGGCAAAGACAGTTTCCATTGATTCATTTTTTGCTGTGTATTGGTCATACACAGCTAAACATTGTTCATGTTCCTTTGCATGTCTTTTAATTTCTTGTTGAAAACTTGATGTTTTGGATAAGATAATGTGGCAACTCTGGAAATCAGAACTCTTTGCTCCCCAGGGTTGGTTGTGGTGGTTGTTTGCCATCATTGTAGTTGTTTCTTTGCCTAGTGACATTTCTGAACGCAATCTATAAAGTCTCTAATCCTTGTTTTGTGTGGCCTCTGAAGTCTCTACTCAGTTAGCTTGGTGGTCAGCTAATTATTGGTTAGAGATTTCCTTAAATGTCTGGAACCAATCAGTCTCTCAGTCTTTGTGTGCTGGGACAAACTTTCAACACTCAGCCAGGCACTGGCTTTAGAGTTTACAACTTTCCCTCAGCCTTCACTTCCTGTTTGCATAGAATCTCAAGGTCAGTCAGAGGTGAGAACTTAGTGACCCCGTGGGGTATTCCTGAGCATGCACACAGCTGCACACAGCCTTACACATGTGCATGGCCTCTGAGATTCCCAGGAATGTGTCAGAGGTTTTTCAAAGCCCCTGTGGACACCTCACGCCCCAGCTTCTCAATTAAAGCTGTGCGGTTAGTGTATCATTTGCCCCAACTGTTATCTATTGCTCAGGAAGCTTTGATTTTCAACAGTGGCCTCTGATTACCTTCAAAACTCTCCTGAGAAAAGGCTGTTTGCATGAGGGGAGCTGTCGGTCACACAGAGACAGCCCTGCACACGGGGTCTTCCAGGGAACCCCCACCCAGGGAAAATAGTGACAATTCTTTTGGAACGAGGCTTTGAAAATGCTCCATGTCCTGTGCTCCCTCAGGAGGCTTCCCTGGGAGTGTGGGAGGTTCTTTTCAAGGCTCCTGCTGAGCCAGAGAGTGGAGGATAGGACCAGACAAGTGGAAATGCCACAGAGCTTGATGTTCATTTTGAGACTTAGCCATCTGTCTTAAAAAAAAAATGCTCTCAGTAGCCATGAACTTTTGGTTAATTCCCAGACTTCTGAAAAGGTGTCTGATCAATTTGCCAGTTTTATCATTGCTCTTCTGGAGTGGGCAATTTTCAGAGCTCTGCCATTTTTGCTGATATCACTGCTCTCCTGAGGGGTGTTTATGAGATCTTAGATGTCTTGAAATTCTTCTCTCATATGTCACTAATAGTTCAGCTGGGAATAACATTCTAGATTGGAAATTGCTTTCCCATAGTATTGTAAAGACATTTCTCATGGTCTTCTACATCAAGGGTTGGTGTTGAGAAGTCTGATGCTACTTGAATTCCTTTAACTGAGATTTCTTTCTTCTTTATGCCTCTCCAAGTCTTTAATTTCTTATTATGGCCACCCTGCAAAAGCTGGAGAGATCCCCCACATACTCAAAATTTGGTGTGGACTGATTACCCCCTTGCCATGCTAAGAGGCTATAAAGCTTTGCTATTTGCATCATTGAGGTCTGTGGGCAAAGCAGGACTCGCCTCTAAACAAGTCCAAAATGGCTTGAGAGAGCCAGGAAAGGAGACGGGCCTGGATATTTACTGTGGTTTGGTGATGGAGTGAGGGCTCGCTTGTGTAGGTAGGAGCTTGGTGCTTTGAAATTCTAGTAGGGACCAAAGGAGACAGGACCAGGATTTACTATCAGGTGGTCCAGATGTGAGGGACAAGGGAAGAGAGAGAGGTGATGCTTAAAAGCTGTCAGAAGTCAAACATCAAACACCCCTAAGAGCGGAGAAGAAGCCCAGATAGCCAGGTGCCCTGACCTTCCTGAATGAGTCTCCCCTGCCTCCTGCTTCCTCCCCAGTTGGCAGGAACTTTAGGCCACTCACCTTGGGCTGCAGGAATACGTAGCCTTTTATCAATGCCGACCTGCTCCCTGGGCATCAGTGGGCCCATGGCCCTGGGGAAAAGTCCTCCCAGCAAAGGACACACAGGGTGTGCCTGCTTGTGCTTTTCAAGGCCTCTGAGGTGGAGAGCAAGGAGGAAAGGCTCAGGGACTGGATGCTCCACCTCCTGAGGAAGCTGTGTCTGGGCTGGTTCTAAGCCTCTGACATCGCCAAGACTCAGAACCACGAATGACAAAGTGTCAATAAATCCACAGAGTTGCTGCTTCTGCAGGCCCACCTGCCTCCTCTCAGGGGCCTCATGTCTTCACAAACCCAGTGTGGACCCATCCACACTCTCTGTCCCGACAAGCTGCATGAACACCCCCTCCTACCACCAAGCCCTGACTCGACAGTGGATACTATGGAGAGGCTGAAGGGGACCTGGCTTACTTTCTGACTCAGTGCCAAGGGACAGACCAAGTTGCCTGAGTGCTGAGATCGGGAGCTTCCTGTCATGAGGATACTTGGACGATGCTGGTGGAACCCCTGTCAGAGATGCTGTTGGGTGGGGGTGCTCTGCCAAGAGAGGACTGGAGGAGCTGTTTCTGCCCTGAGTGTCTATGGTCCCCAAGCTGTCACCTAAATGCACCAGGGGGTCTGCCCAAGACTCGGGCAAGCAGACAGTCATTAGAAAACCTTGGGCACTGCCCGTGTGCTCAGTCCAGAGCCAGTCAATTGTGGGGCTGGGGACTGTAGAGAGGATGGCAGTCCCTGCCCTCGGCCAGGGCTCCTGGCTAACAAGGTCACTGCTGCAGAGTCAGAGCAGGAAGACAGGACCCAGCAG